AATATGTATTACTTATTACCAAACCTCTTTCTACACATAGCTCAATTAAAGGCTCCCCATTTTCGTTTACCCCTGGCACCCAAATTTACCTACTACTCCCTCAACATTTTTACCCACTTTAGCACTGAAATTCCCAACCACAAGTACTCATATACTTGGTTCAAAACTCCCCATGCATTCACTCATTTCCCAAAATCTCTCTCCTCTACACTTCTCTTTTCTCCAGGTGCATATACACTTACTAAACCCCACTTTTCACATCTAACCTTTATTTTACTCCACATAATCCTTGAATTAATACATTTATAATCCCTCTTTTCCTGCCATAGCTTATCCTTCAACATTATTGCTACTCCTTCTTTAGCCATTTGAATATTCCACTTCTCTTACCACCCCATCTTTTCATTGTTTTTTACCAATAGGTATATTATATTACATAATATTGTACAAAATATTTAAGAGATACATTGTTGATATAAGGATTATATATAAACTACATGAGGTGTACATGAGATACATGTCTAGAACACATTGTTACGTGTTTATTACTGATTATAATGCGAAAACCTCATCCAGCTCCTTAGGGTCAGGGCGCTTGCCCAAGATATGGCATGCATTACCCCTCCGAACAGCAGCGCTGAGTCGCTGAAACAGAAAAACTAGCTGCCCTGGGATCTCTAGTTACCCTGATGAGTCTTTTGCCTATCTCCTTAAGGAACTTAGATGAACTCTTTCCCCATGAGCCAAGGGTCTCCGAGCCTATGGGAACATATAATGCTAGGCAAGTTCTCCATATTTTCTAGACTTTTGGGACTACCAGAAGCTAGCAGCTGCTCCTCTTTCCTCCCTGGTGTATTGGAGAGAGGTATCAGCCAAGGTAGATGTACATGTGTAGTCCCACACCACATGCTTGTCGTCTGTCCAGGCATGAAAGGTGATACCATCTGGACTCTTTTAGCTACCATCAGATCTGCATAGTTGGGGTGGCTCCCTTACTTCTGGGCATCCGGCTGTTGTGAGGCTCCTCTTGATAATGTTATTAACCTCATGTCTTGCAATCTTTCCCTCGGATTTACGGCACACAAGACCATGGTACCCGAATCAATCTGCTGCTTCACTGCCACAAATACACCTGTGTTCGGCGAGAATAGGGGCGGCAAGTCGAAAGGCAACACCAGTGTGGATGGTCTGTGGGTCGAGGCGTGTGCCAAGGTTGGAGTTGGGAACAGCCAACAGAAAGTCCCCTGCAAGAGGAGCTCTCACTGCTAGGAGGCGGGCTCTATCCTTCCCCGATACACACTGAAGCACTGTCGAGGCTATATTCTCCACTACTGGGCCATCCCAGTGCTACTGTTTGTAGCTGTTGGGGCATTTTAGTTGAAGTTTACAACATACTTGACTTATGGAGGAAAGATTCATATTCCACTTCCCCGTGGAGATGAAAGGAAATATTAAAAAGCAAGAAATATTAAGAAAAATAAAAGAAAACTCAGATGAGCGTGTATGCATAAACATGTATATGAATGTGTAGTGTGACCTAAGTGTAATTAAAAGTAACAAGATATACTTGTCATCTTCTGTATTTTTTAGACAGAAAAGAAAGATAAGATAAGATAAGATTTCGTTCGGATTTTTAACCCCGGAGGGTTAGCCACCCAGGATAACCCAAGAAAGTCAGTGCGTCATCGAGGACTGTCTAACTTATTTCCATTGGGGTCCTTAATCTTGTCCCCCAGGATGCGACCCACACCAGTCGACTAACACCCAGGTACCTATTTGCTGCTAGGTGAACAGGACAACAGGTGTAAGGAAACGTGTCGAAATGTTTCCACCCGCCGGGAATCGAACCCGGGCCCTCCGTGTGTGAAGCGAGAGCTTTAGCCACCAGGCCACCGGGCCACCCAAAAAGACACTAGCACTCCTACGATCGTGTAAGATAATTACAGATTTCGGTCTACCTTCTGCATTGGTAAAGTCACATCAGCCTAGTTTAAAAAACAAATCTCTGAACATGTTTTGCCTAAATATCTTTTGTCAGTAATCGCAAAAGTTTTCAGCAGTTGGAAACATCTACTAATTTATCTTTTGATAAAATCAATATTAGTTTCATGATAAAACAATATATTCCCAATTGCCCTCAGAGATTTTTTTCACATATGAAAAACTTAAAAATAATGAAAATTTGCATATTGCTAAAGCAGACAAAATATATGCAGTAGTAATACTAAAAAAAAAAAAAACTGATTGCCAAGGTAATGCGAGTAATATTTTCAATTATACAGATTTTTTTGCAGACTTCGAAAGAATTCATTAGATTCAATAAATAGTAACTTGAACAAAACATTAAAACAACAACTGACAGGTAAAGATGAACAAATTTAAAAAAAATCATGACCACCAACGTATCTTTGCCATATATCAATCGATTAAACAAAACACATAAACCGGGTAATCCAACCTGACCCATAATTAATTTCACTGGCTCAGTCACCCACAAATTTCTCAAATGGCTATTAGATATGTTGAACCCAATTGTTGGCAGAGTTTCTAACTTCAATATTAAAAATAATATTGATTTAGTTGACAAGTTAAACACCATGACTGACTTAAGTGATAACAATATGATCAGTTTTGATGTCACATCGTTGTTCACCAGTCCCAGATGATGACAAGTTTTCTATCTGAAGACCTTTTTAATTACTATTTACCAACGCCTGTGCTGACAATCACAGGAGGTATGAGGTGCGTGGCGCGCGAGCGAAAAAAAAAATTCGAAAAATTATGGAATTTGAGTTAATCATATAGAAAAATAGCTTAACTCTTTAGCAATATACTAGTACAAGAATCAATGTTCTACGACGTTTCTACAAGGAATTAGTCATTTATATCAGGTATGGTGACGGCGATGTGCGTAGCGCGTCTACTCACAGCCCATATATTTTTTGGAATTTTTTCCTTCTTTTTTCTCGCTATTTCTTGCGTTATTCTTTCTAATATAATAATTGACGATTTGGCATCATAAAAAAAGTAGGCGGAGCTTATCCGTAGACTCCAGCCAATCAGGAACCATCTGGGAACACCGGCAGTATTCCCGCTCCAGAGGGAGGCAGGAGAAATCACTTCATTATTACGCTTATATCAACTCTACGGCTTATTTATCTATCAGAATTGAACTAATATGATATAATAAATACTATAAATAACATACAAACATGTTACATACTCTAGACTGAATAAAATAGGCCATAATATGGCGAGAGTCCACCAGCAATATTTGATATAAAATCATTTCCCCTCCTCATGTCGTATTCTTTGGCCTTGAGTAAGAGAAAACTGCAGTAGAACACCAGTTTACTAAGGAAAACACCGAAACAAACGCGATTTTCGTGGAAAAAAAAAATTCGAGACGGGGGACAGGCCGGCGTTCGAGGCCTATATCTCGAAAGTAACTTATTGACTTTTTTCACTTAACTACGCCTTTACTACTTAATTAAGTGGAATAATATTCACAGAAATTCTAAAATAAAGATTGTTCTTATTTTTAGTGATGCACTTTGGAAATATTCCAAATATTTTGGGATTTGTGGAAGTGAAGGGCAGATATTTTGCAAAAGTCTAAGAACTAACAAACTTTGCTTTTTTGTGGAATGAAGATAAGATATTTAGAGGAAAGTGCAACACCATCAAATCGTATTAGCATTGTTCTCTGGGTACCAAGTGCCCAAACAACCTTACGTCGTGCCATATGGGGCTACCCTCCTGCCAAATGGCATTTTCACTAAATCGTTCTTCTTTCAGTTGTTTGGATTATCTTATTGACAAATATTTACAGAAAATAGAGAAAATACTTCGTCTTGTGCACCAACAATGAAAGAAATCTGACAGAAAAAAATAAATAGTAGTTCTACCTTCCCTTAATCCCCAAGAATATAAATGTGCATAAACCATTTTCAACTTGAATTACTCGAGCTCCATTCTTTTTTTAGAAGTTTTAAATATTAAGGTGAACCAAAGATTTAAATTCAAAATATTCAGAAAACCAATAAATAACTGCTCTTATGTGCACTATTATTCTTCATATTATGACAGAGTTAAATATTGTGTCTTCATGTTTTTGAGAGCTCTGCGCAGCCCAGTGTTCATAAATGAGGAAATAATTATTTATAAAATAGCACATGATCTAACATACTCCCAAAAATTAACAAATCTTTTAATACTATCTGAAGTACATTTTACAATTTAAAAAAGGGCAAAGAAACATATTCAACAAAGAATATGTTGCCTCTACCTTACCATGAAAACTTTCTTGATATACCTTCTCTAAGTTGTATTTAAAAATCTTGATATAGTAAAAAGAATTGGATTAAGAATTTCCCAAAAAATGCTGATAATTATGTGAATAAGATTCCCTGTAAAATTGCAATAAAGTTTATGATCAATGAAAGGACTGGGAAAGTGGCTAGACAACCGTACTTCTAATTTTTACTATTATTTAAATTGTCTTTATACAGGATTTTATTATTACGGATTTGGTAGGTATTTCCTTGTCAAATGTTGCGTTTTCAATTTTTTTTTTCCATCTACGACAATGAAATCGAAAATCATGTTAAAAACATGTCTGTCCCTTCGTGCTATTTCAAAACACTTCCGTAAAAGATTTTCATTGTTGTTTTCTTAATTTCCAGTTAAACTGCATGATGGTTCTCTCCATGTACTTTGGGTGAGTGTCACTTTAACTGATGGATTTTGTACTTAAACATTTAGTTTACATTATATATTTATGTGAAAGATATGATGTTTTTACTGAACCTGTGTAGGCAACACTGTCTCCACCTTAAAAGACAACGGTTATTCTGACTAATGAAGGAATATTATATGCAGCTTAACCTGTCCTCTAACTTGTGCTAAGGTTGCTGCATGATCAGAGAGAAATCTCAAGATGTAATGGAGCTGTAGCTCAACTTCAAGAGCAGAGAGTTACAATTCAACACTGCCTAAGAGATCCAGTTGGAGAAAACCTTTAAGCCCAGAAGCATTATCTCAACACTCAAGAAGCCTAGAAACCACAGCATTAAACAGTATTTGTAAATCTATGGTTCCCAAACTTGTGTTGATGGTGCATCAATTTCGACGTCTTGTATTATGGACTGCCACTAATACTGAGTTTAGGGGCTACAACGAATAATTTTTATTTCTATAACGCAAGCAATCTACCTATAAACACAAAAAGAATTATTTCCGGTATTTTTGAGGAGAGGGAGAGAGATAAGCAACAAAATATTTTTTTTTTTGTTGTTGGTAGAATGTAACAGGTTTGTTATACGCCGAGCAAGTGCTTGTGGCATGTCGGTTCAATGTAAATAGTTCCTGGGTTTTCTTACATTAGATCAGAATAAGTTAGGATGGTTGCAGTAGTCAACAGGGATCTTTTTCTACATACTTCTTGAGACAAAAAAAAAAAAAAGACCAAAATTATTTTTTTTCAATTTCCGTTGCACATACAAACCGTTATTCCACACTTACCATTATAAATTTTCACGAAACTCAATGGAGCCCCAAAACTCAATATTTACCTCAACAACAAACCCTTTTGTGCAAATGCGAAAGTAACTTTCTACTACTAATATCTGAGATAAAGGTACGCAGAGAGAACAATATACTAACTTGGTTGTGCAACGACATGGATCCTACAGTGTTTACAGTCATGTGACTCTGAGCAGCTGGACGATTACACTGGAGACCAAACACGCAGTTTACACTAGCTTTTTTTTTGTTTAATGTGGGAGCACTAAGCTCCTAGAGATGAGAGGCAGAATCGATTCATGGAGATATATTTATCCTGTAAAAAGATTTGCAGCAAATTATGATTAATCTCTTTGTTTTAAAGTTTTAAAATTATTTTAAGTTTTTAATGGTAATAGTAAAATATCCGGTGTCGATAAATGTATTTAATTTTCAAAGTTCACATTATTCTAGTAAAAGTCAGTGATTTTCATAACATTCTAAACTATATTTTACAGTACCTGAAGTCTCTGACTTGCAGTAATTTAATGAAATATTTTTGTCCATGTTCTCTTCAGGATTCTACTACTGTTTCTGGCCGTCCATATCATCCACATTGTGTATCAGGATTATTACACCAACATTCCTTTCCTCATAGAACAAGATAATCTCTCCTCTCGTACTGATATCCAAGCAGACTTTAAAGTTACCTTGCAATTTGCTACAACGATACTTCCGCACCTGAAAGGAAATGAAACAAAAACTACCTATAAAGTCCCTGAGAGATGCGAGTGTAAAGTGGAGAAGTTTATGGGCCAGGACACAATAGAACAGCTGGACTTGTCGTTACCTTGGCTCGACACAACAACAAAAGAATACTTGATCAACCACCACCCGAACTTACCTGTAAATTTCCTCTATAAAGCCACCAGGGAAGGCGGGTGCAGCCTATTACCTTTCCTCAGCAGGTATGTAACTGTTAATGGTGAATGATGGGAATTTTATTGTCACGATTTACGCTTTGCAAAGTATAACTTAGTGACATAGCAGTGGCAGGATAACATTTTTATGGATATTTGTGGCAATTTAATGAATTCTAAAGTTATATTTCATAATTTCTGAGCTACCGGTTAGTTGTCCCTATGTGGTTGTAACAAGTATTGCAGGTGAACAAAAAGATGTATCTTGTTTTAAACAGGAAAAAGTATAGGAAAATAGGAAGAACGAGACAGTACACAAAAGGTAAAAATAATATTGTAAAGAAGCAAGAAATGTACAAAAAGAGAAGAGGTAGAGGAGTAATGGATGGAAAGAAAACCATGTTAAAGTAACAAGTAGGAGAGAAATGCAAAGAAATAATCATGGGAGTGTAAGAAGTAAGAGCAGAAGGAAAGTAAAGGAAATTACTATAAGTAGGACATGGCGAACTCTAGCTCAAGTTAGAGTTCATCACCGCCACGCTGGCAGTGATGAACTCTAACTCGTCTGTGAAAACTTGCATTTGTGGTCACAGTGGTGCCTATGCTAACTGTGGAAAATACTGTATATATTTTCCAGAAATACAGTAGTTATATGTAAATAGATGGCCATACTGTATTTAATAAAATTTATGTTATCAAAAATGGGAAGCTGCGCCTGCGCAGGACACTCGCCATTGTTGTTTTGAATTGAGAGTAACAGACATTAGAAATGGGAAGAATTTTTCGTGCTCTAGAGGTTAAAATTGGGCTGACACCTCTCAAACAGGAGGCGAAATTGTTGGATGTGCATTCCTGCATAACTTGAGATATCAGGCGACAAGACAGAACAACTCCAGGCACCTCAGATAAGCTGCCTAATTTATGTTTAAATTCTGGCCAGTAAATTTTTCATAAATGTAGGCAAAAAGGGGGGGATGTCCTGTACATGACACATTAATCTCCAGTCAAATTGGTGAGTGATATTAAGATATATTTTCCTTCTGTTATGTAAATTGTGTATATACATAATCCTTTATTAATATACAGTCCACAAATTTATATATTTACCAGAATTCCTGGTGATGTATCTTTTATTTATAATTAATAGGTCCAGAGCAACTTGTGGATATGACAGTGGTAGGTATCGAAGGGGGACATTTTTTGCGACCTAGGTGTCCCAAATTCCTACTTGTCTAACTGATAAATAATAATCTTTGTTCATTTACTGTTATGTACATAATGATACATTCAGCTAAATGCAATTTTCCACACTAACCTTCCTATGGTATATAAATATAAATAATTGGATCTTATTGTAGCCAGCTGGCCCAGTCGCTTACGCACTGGTCTGGAGTTTTACGACTCGCTGCGGATTCAATTCCCACCCATACCGTGGTTTGTTTACAAACTATTCTGGAAAAATACCCTGACTTTGTTCACTGTAAATAAAGTTAATATTTGCATTAATTAATAACTCGTTACAACTTTTAGCGGGTGTAGACATGTGAATGGTTCATTACCTTTGTCAAAACTTTCCAACCCTCGACCCATTATGTACCACTGTAATCTTTTTGACTACCGCCTACATTATTATTATAATCAAAAAGAAGCGCTAAACCATAAGGGCTATACAGCGCACTATCGCCTACAGGATGGGTACGGGGGTGCATAATAGATATTAAACTAACTCGAGCGCAAAGATTAATTCCATATAGGTGTAGGCTGTGTAGGTTTCCATTTATTAATACTGATTTACTGTGATGCAAATGGTGCACTCGGTGGAGGGGTGAATGTAAGTACAGTGCCAGAAGACCAGAGTACAAACAGCTGCAACTGGATGACCGTAATGCTGCGTGAATTCAGCTAGAGTTTAGCCATTAAATTGTTTATCACAAGAACGATGATCATCGTTTTCGGAAAGTATGAAATGAGATTTGTTGACCAACAAAAGTCGTAGCTAAGGACAATTTTTTTTTTATTAAATCAAAAGCAGAATTTAGCCGGAGTGTACAGAACTTTCCACACGTTCCAGGGCTGAAGACAAACTGACGGTAGCTAGGACAGGATAAAACTGGGATGTTTTTGTTGTCAATGCGAGTGGCTCTGACAATTTCACAGGAAACAGACGCAAGTGTGGCTCTCGTAAGAGAAAGCAGTAGTTTGTCACTGTGATTTAGGAAATACTATGAATATGGTAATAAACTAAGGTAGTAAAAAAAGTTACTAGCCTTATGACTGTAACAGTTTCCTCCAGCCGTCGTCCGAGTGGTCCCTCGAGGAAATTTTATAACTGTCGCTGAATTAATTTTGAATTGCTTCCGAGTTAGATAATAAATATTTTATCATTATCAGTGAGAAGTATTTTGCTTGGTTGCTCATCAGAGAGACCCAGCCAGGTTAGGTAACCTTCCAGAGAAAACTCCAGAACTACATCCGTCTGATGTTTAGATCACAAGTGCCTGTTTCCTAGCATCAACGAGTTAATAATATAATAATATATTTATTTACTACAAGTACATGTACAAGGTATACAGACCTAGCTGACATCAATGCCATACTACATAGAAAGCTCCTTGTTATGCTGAGCATTTCGGGCAAATTGGGTCAGTTTTGTCCCATGATGCGACCCACACTAGTCGACTAACACACATGTACCCATTTTACTGATGGGTGAACATTAACGGTGTAAGGGAACACGTCCCATGTTTTCACCCCTTCTCCAGGAATCGAACCCGGACCCCTCACCGTGTGAAGCGAGAGCTTTTGCTACCAGGTACCTGACAGTTGCATTAATTAGAGGTTTAATTAGCAAATGTGAATTTTAGAGCCCCAAGTAGCGCTAAATACGACAACTGACAACTTCCACCTAATTTGTTTATAAAACATTATATAAAACTTGACCTTCTACTAACACAGATGCTTTGGTTTAACTAATGTACAGATAAAAACATAATTCATGATCTAAAAAATCTGAAAATATAATGGATTAACTACAAATGTGATGTAAAATTCTCAGTAACACTTCACCCGCCACTACCAACATCATTCAAGCTAACACTGACGTTTTCTTTCAGCATTCAGTGGGTGAACATTTACTGGCAGAAAATGCGACTGAACAAAACAGCCATTTTACTCTACTCAGCCTTTTACGACCCCAACCCAGGTGAGTAAAAGTGCCTCACAGGTGAGGATATGTGATAAATACACTACAGCTGTTGTTATATCTATATTTGTGAGTGTTGGTTATTTATGGTATGCAATGGCGAAAAGTAAATGACTACTTATCGGTTTGACTGTGTGATACACCAGTAATATAACACGTCTCTGACACAGCAACTTCATACTCATCTGCTTGGAAGTTTGTACATCGCTAATCTAACGATGTTGGTTTGTTGTTTGTGTAGTTTATTCCTTGTAAGAGCCAGTGCAACCAAACCCTGTGTTCCCTTATACCTGGGAAGAGGTATTAGGCTACACGGGATTCCAAAATTTTAATTTGGCGGGCCGGTGTCCCTCGAGATAGGGGCAATGTTTGTTGCACTATGTTGCACACTATATTGAAATGCTTTTAAATCATATTTCAAAAAATTATATACATCGTTCCAAAATTTTAATTTGGGATGGCACTGCTGAGGGCATTATTTCATTGTATTAGGTTGAATGGGAAATATTTTCAAAACTTTCTTATTTTAATTTGACAAAAGAAAGTACTATTCCAAAATTGAATTTGGGAGGAAGTTTCTCTTTCCATGGGTGTGAAGCTCCCCCCGCATCTGTTTTTAACAGATGCGGGGGTGTCCTCCACACCTGCCTCCTGACAAGACAGATGTAGGGGTGTCCTCAACACCTGCCTCCTGACAAGACAGGCATAGGGGTGTCCTCCACACCTGCCTCCTGACAAGAGAGGTGTAGGGGTCCTCCACACCTTCCTCCTGACAAGAGAGGTGTAGGGGTGTCCTCCACACCTGCCTCCTGACAAGACAGGTGTAGGAGTGTCCTTCACACCTGCCTTCTGACACGACAGGTATGGGCGGGTTTCACATGGGTGTGAAATTCCTTAAAGACAAATGTGGGGGAAGGGTATCCTCCACACCTGCCTCCTGACAAGACAGGTGCAGGTGGATGTCTCTCCACACACCTGTCTCCTGACAAGACAGGTGTTGGGTTATCCTCCACACTGCCTCCTGACAAGACAGGTGCAGGCGGATATCTCTCCACTCCTGCCTCCTGACAATACAATTGTAGGGGTATCCTCCATACCTGCCTCCTGACAAGACAGGTATATGGATGACTCCACACCTGCTTCCTGACAAGACAGGTGGGAGCAGATGCCTCTCCACACCTGCCTCCTGACAAGACAGATACGGGCGGATCTCTCTCCACACCTGCCTCCTGAGAAGACAGGTACGCATGAATGTGTCTCTACACCTGCCTCCTGACAAGACAGATGCAGGCAGATGTGTCTCCACACCTGCCTCCTGACAATACAAGCATAGGGGGTGTCCTCCACACCTGCTTCCTCACAAGACAGGTGTATGGGTGTCCTGCACACCTGCCTCCTGACAAGACTGGAGCTGAACACTTCTCCATGCTGAGTGACTGACCTCAAAAATTATTTCTCCAAGGTTGATGGACTGATTACATTACCCACGCCTGCTGCCTCTGTATTTGACTAAAGAAGACTACTGTATAGGCGAAACGTCAATAAAGGCGAATCAACAATAAAGATAAACAACTGCTGCACATGTGTCTTACCCATTAAACAGCAAGGCCACTTTTGATGCAATGTCATCATTGTCAGGAGGCAGGTGTGGAGGACACCTATACAATGTCATCAGTGTCAGGAGGCAGGTGTGGAGGACACCCATACAATGTCATCAGTGTCAGGAGGCAGGTGTGGAGGACACCCATACAATGTCATCATTGTCAGGAGGCAGGTGTGGAGGACACCCATACAATGTCATCAGTGTCAGTGTCAGGAGGCAGGTGTGGAGGACACCCATACAATGTCATCAGTGTCAGTGTCAGGAGGCAGGTGTGGAGAACACCCATACAATGTCATCAGTATCAGTGTCAGGAGGCAGGTGTGGAGAACACCCATACAATGTCATCAGTATCAGTGTCAGGAGGCAGGTGTGGAGGACACCCATACAATGTCATCAGTATCAGTGTCAGGAGGCAGGTGTGGAGAACACCCATACAATGTCATCAGTATCAGTGTCAGGAGGCAGGTGTGGAGAACACCCATACAATGTCATCAGTATCAGTGTCAGGAGGCAGGTGTGGAGAACACCCATACAATGTCATCAGTATCAGTGTCAGGAGGCAGGTGTGGAGAACACCCATACAATGTCATCAGTGTCAGGAGGCAGGTGTGGAGGACACCCATACAATGTCATCAGTGTCAGGAGGCAGGTGTGGAGAACACCCATACAATGTCATCAGTATCAGTGTCAGGAGGCAGGTGTGGAGGACACCCATACAATGTCATCAGTGTCAGTGTCAGGAGGCAGGTGTGGAGGACACCCATACAATGTCATCAGTGTCAGGAGGCAGGTGTGGAGGACACCCATACAATATCATCAGTATCAGTGTCAGGAGGCAGGTGTGGAGGACACCCATACAATGTCATCAGTGTCAGTGTCAGGAGGCAGGTGTGGAGGACACCCATACAATGTCATCAGTGTCAGGAGGCAGGTGTGGAGAACACCCATACAATGTCATCAGTATCAGTGTCAGGAGGCAGGTGTGGAGGACACCCATACAATGTCATCAGTGTCAGTGTCAGGAGGCAGGTGTGGAGAACACCCATACAATGTCATCAGTATCAGTGTCAGGAGGCAGGTGTGGAGAACACCCATACAATGTCATCAGTATCAGTGTCAGGAGGCAGGTGTGGAGAACACCCATACAATGTCATCAGTATCAGTGTCAGGAGGCAGGTGTGGAGAACACCCATACAATGTCATCAGTATCAGTGTCAGGAGGCAGGTGTGGAGAACACCCATACAATGTCATCAGTGTCAGGAGGCAGGTGTGGAGGACACCCATACAATGTCATCAGTATCAGTGTCAGGAGGCAGGTGTGGAGGACACCCATACAATGTCATCAGTGTCAGTGTCAGGAGGCAGGTGTGGAGGACACCCATACAATGTCATCAGTGTCAGGAGGCAGGTGTGGAGAACACCCATACAATGTCATCAGTATCAGTGTCAGGAGGCAGGTGTGGAGGACACCCATACAATGTCATCAGTGTCAGTGTCAGGAGGCAGGTGTGGAGAACACCCATACAATGTCATCAGTATCAGTGTCAGGAGGCAGGTGTGGAGAACACCCATACAATGTCAGTGCTTACATCAAATGGGAAACATTTAAATGATCTATAAGTTGGTAAATCTTGAAACATGTCTGTTGTAGTCTGTACTAACATTCTGCAACTGTTGAACATTTCGATCACTGATGAACATCTTTCTTCATGAGACGTTTCACTTGTGTAGCAGGTTTTTTTTTTTCACTTTTTTCTCCCTACCGGAGAGAATGGAGGTAATTCTAAGGTGTTGAGTCGCTCAGCCTAGACACAGAGTTATTTCCAACAGCTAAATATCGTATTCCAACTCTGCAATTTGTATCATTAATTGGTCATCAAGGAATCTACTAAAATTGCTCTGCCATCTGCTAGTAGATCGCTATCGACTATTAGGGTACCACTGACCTCAGTGTTGCATACGTCTCTTTATTCCTAAAGTTATGTTGTCTCAATATGAAGGCAGAACAGGAAATGGTATGAACAAACCATACAACAAACAAAGGGACACAGCGTATACATACAAGTACTACACAGAGGTTAAAACATAAAATAAGTCGAATTAATTCATGCCATCCGGTCAAAAGATTTGGATCCAAGACCTTTCTCAGTCTCCATCAACTCCAATAGGGTAATTAAATCACACACACACTAAAGTGTATATTACCTGGTGCAGGAGGAAAGCCGTGTGTGAGGTTGCTGGGAGTCACCAGAAGCACCAAGCCTCCCGCTGTCTGGTGTCACCTATGGTTCAGCACACAACAACCGCCAGTCGTCACCAGGATCACCATCATTGGTAGGTAACACTCGCTTTCTCTTGCCACTGGGTGTTGCTAACCAAGGCAATATTTCTGCTGTGTAATATTCGTGGGGAGTCAGATTAATCAGTAGTGGTTGCTGACTGCTAGGTGAAGCATATGTCCTTAGTTTGGCAAGTTCTGTTCCTCTGTAAGATTTGCTGTTAATTAGTGAATTTGATTGTATTGACCGTTGATGCCAACTGTACGTAGCCAGACTAGATTTGGCGATCAAATACAAGGACTAAAAACTACTCTAAGCCATATTTATTCTTATATATTAGCTACTAATTCCTGTATTCTTATGTCTGAATAAATGCATTACTAGGGGAACTATAACTCCCTTGGGTCCATTTTGAAAGCCTTTCTTGTAATGAAAGTGCCATAAAAATCATGAAAATGGAATTTTTTATATTAAAAGTTGCCTTGATAATATGTGGCACCATTATAGCAAAATTATTCAAAAAAATGTTGCTGATTCTAATAAAAGTCCATGTGAGGAAACTTAGGGCAAACGGAATAGGAGGAGAAATTTTCTCCTGGGTAGAGGCATGGCTGACAAATAGACAGCAGAAAGTTTGCATAAATGGGGAGAAATCAGAATGGGGGCACGTCACAGGCGGTGTTCTGCAGGGGTCAGTGTTGGGCCCGTTGTTGTTCACAATTTACATAAACGACATAGATGAGGGAATAAATAGCGACATAAGCAAATTTGCTGGTGACACCAAAATAGGCCGTCCAGTTCATTCTAATGAAGACACTAGAGCACTCCAGGATGATTTGAATAGACTTATGCAATGGTCGGAGAAGTGGCAGATGCAGTTTAATGTAGACAAATGCAAAGTTCTAAATGTTGGACAGGTAAATAACCATGCCACATATAAACTAAATAATGTAGATCTTAATACTACTGATTGCGAAAAGGATTTAGGAGTTCTGGTTAGCAGTAACCTAAAACCAAGACAACAGTGCATTAGTGTTCGCCAGTGTTCAGTGGTCAGTCGTCAGTGTTCAGTGGTCAGTCGTCACGTGAGGTCACAGACCCTGAGCTGCTTGGGGATTAGCGTGGACGGTTACAAAGCATGGCTTGCTTCTACAGTGTTTTAAAAGCTGAGGTTGGAGAGTTGAAGGAGGAGGTCTTGCTTCTCCAGGAGGAGATTAGGAGGCTGAAGGTCCACCTCAATGGGCCTGGGAGAGAGTGTGAGGTGGTTGGAGATGTGGGGAATGAGGCTTCTAGCAGTGAGGTGCAGTCTGTCTCTCACTGTGAGGAGGCTGTAGGTGGGGTGGTAGCAACGGCTACCAGCAGTGAGGTGCAGCCCAGCACCTGCTACAAGTGGCGAGTTGTTCACAGTAATGGGAGGCGCATCAGATAAGGAAAGTTAAGAGTGCAGATCTGAAGGTAGGAAATCGCTTCTCTGTTCTCCAGGATGACATGTACTCAGTGGCCAGTGAAGGTAAGGTACTACTGCCCCTGCTAATGAAGGTAAGCGCATTCTTGTGGTTGGTGACTCTCAGGTAAGATATGTTGATCGTGCTTTTGTAATAGGAATAAGAAGATGAGAGATAGAGTGTGCTTCCCTGGAGCTGGTGTTGGGGACATTGTCAACAGACTGGATAATATCATGTCAGGTAATGGGAACAAGCCCATTATCTGTCTCAGTGCTGGTGGAAATGATATTGGGAAGGGTAGGAGAGAAGAGCTGCTAGATAAGTACAGGTCAGCTATAGATTTCATTAAGTCTAAGGGAGGGATCCCAATCATATGTAGCATCTTGCCTAGAAGGGGAGTAGGAAATGAATGGTGTCTAGGGCAATTGGTGTAAATTGCTGGCTAGACAGATACTGCAAGGAACTTGCAATCCCATTCATTGACAACTGGAACAACTTTTATGGCAAAATGATATGTATGCAAGGGATGGGGTTCATCTCTCTGGGGCAGGGGTGGTAGCACTTGCAGACTCGATTGAGAAGGCCATTGGTGAAATGCCTATGATTTTAAACTGATGGAAGATAGAGGTATGGGTGTGTGTGGGAAACAAGCAGGTTGCAACACTAGGGTTGGAAACAGTAAAATGTATAAAAGGCATTCAGCATGAAGTTATAAATAAAGACAATAGAACAGGTCAGCAAACAAAGGGGGACAGCAGAGGGCAGCAAGGGACTAGCTCCCTTAAGGTTTACTATACTAATAGCAGGAGTGTTAGAAATAAGATAGATGAGCTAAGATTAATTGCAAGTGCAGGAAACATAGATATTATTGCTATAACAGAGACCTGGCTCAATCTGAAAGATAGAGAGATGCCCTCTGAATGTCACATACAAGGCTATAAATTATTCCACACTGACAGGGTCAACAGGAAAGGTGGTGGAGTAGCGATGTATGTCAGAGACAATTTAAATTGTTGTGTTAGACAAGATATTAAATTAGAAGCGTCAGCCACTGAATCTGTTTGGTTTACAGCTTCTCGAGGGCCGAGAAAAACTAATTTTGGGTGTGATTTACAGGGCCCCAAATCTTGATAGGAGTGCAGTAAACTTCTATGGGACGAAATTCGTAAGGCATCTACATACGAAAATGTTGTGCTAATGGGAGATTTCAACTATAGACAGATTGACTGGAGCAATTTGACAGGAAATTTAGAGTCGGGTGACTTTCTTGATACGATCCAGGATTGTTTTTTAAAACAGTTTGTGACAGAGCCAACTAGGGGAAATAACCTCCTTGACTTGGTTCTTGCCAGTAGGGAAACCCTAATTAATAATCTTGAGGTTAATGATGAGCTTGGGGAGAGTGATCACAAATCACTCAGTTTTAACATATCATGGAATTCCCCTAATAATGGCAATCAAGTCTCCGTCCCTGACTTTCGCTTGGCTGATTTCATAGGACTGAAAAATTACTTACGTGGGCTGAACTGGAATGACCTGACTAGGGGTCAGGTAGGTGGTGATGGTTGCCGATATGATGCTTTCCAGGGCATAGTTCTAGCTGCTCAGTCAAATTATGTTCCAAATAGGGAAATCAGATCAAACAAAAATGATCCTAATGGATGAACAATAGATTAAAATATCTGATTGGTCAAAAGAGAGGCATATATAGGCAAATCAAAAGAGGAGAGGGGCAATTAAGAAATCGATATATTCAGTTAAAGAGAGAAATAAAAAAGGGAATTAGAAAAGCAAATAGAGATTATGAGTTAAAGTTGCAAGAGAATCGAAGACTAACCCAAAAGGATTCTTTCAGGTATACAGAAGTAAGATCAGGGACAAGATAGGCCCACTCAAAAGTTCCTCGGGTCAGCTCACTGACAGTGATAAGGAAATGTGTAGAATTTTTAACACATACTTCCTCTCAGTTTTTACACAGGAGGATACCAGCGATATTCCAGTAATGATAAATTATGTAGAACAGGACGATAATAAACTGTGCACTATTAGGGTCACAAGTGACATGGTCCTTAGGCAAATAGATAAATTAAAACCTAACAAATCCCCAGGCCCTGATGAACTGTATGCAAGGGTTCTAAAGGAATGTAAAGAGGAGCTTAGCACACCTTTGGCTAATCTTTTCAACTTATCACTACAAATGGCATGGTGCCCAGATAAGTGGAAAATGGCAAATGTGATACCTATTTTCAAAACAGGTGACAGGTCCTTAGCTTCGAACTATAGACCAATAAGCCTAACCTCCATAGTGGGAAAATTTATGAATCAATAATTGCCGAGGCAGTTCGTAGCCACCTTGAAAAGCATAAATTAATCAACGAATCTCAGCATGGTTTTACAAAGGGGCGTTCCTGCCTTACGAATTAATTAACTTTTTTCACTAAGGTATTTGAGGAGGTAGATCATGGTAATGAATATGATATTGTGTATATGGACTTCAGTAAGGCTTTTGACAGGGTCCCACATCAGAGACTATTGAGGAAAATTAAAGCACATGGAATAGGAGGAGAAATTTTTTCCTGGATAGAGGCATGGTTGACAAATAGCAGCAGAGAGTTTGCATAAATGGGGAGAAATCAGAGTGGGGAAGCGTCACGAGCGTGTTCCACAGGGGTCAGTGTTGGGCCCCCTGCTGTTCACAATCTACATAAACGACATAGATGAGGGCATAAAGAGCGACATCGGCAAGTTTGCCGATGACACCAAAATAGGCCGTCGAATTCATTCTGACGAGGACATTCGAGCACTCCAGGAAGATTGAATAGACTGATGCAGTGGTCGGAGAAGTGGCAGATGCAGTTTAATATAGACAAATGCAAAGTTCTAAATGTTGGACAGGACAATAACCATGCCACATATAAACTAAATAATGTAGATCTTAATATTACGGATTGCGAAAAAGATTTAGGAGTTCTGGTTAGCAGTATCTGAAACCGAAGACAACAGTGCATAAGTGTTCGCAATAAAGCTAATAGAATCCTTGGCTTCATATCAAGAGCATAAATAATAGGAGTCCTCAGGTTGTTCTTCAACTCTATACATCCTTGGTTAGGCCTCATTTAGATATGCTGCACAGTTTTGGTCACCGTATTACAGAATGGATATAAATTCTCTGGAAAATGTACAAAGGAGGATGACAAAGATGATCCCATGTATCAGAAACCTTCCCTATGAGGATAGACTAAGGGCCCTGAAACTGCACTCTCTAGAAAGACGTAGAATTAGGGGGATATGATTGAGGTTTATAAGTGGAAGACAGGAATAAATAAAGGGGATGTAAATAGTGTGCTGAAAAATATCTAGCCTAGACAGGACTCGCAGCAATGGTTTTAAGTTGGAAAAATTCAGATTCAGGAGGGATATAGGAAAGTACTGGTTTGGTAATAGAGTTGTGGATGAGTGGAACAAACTCCCAAGTACCGTTATAGAGGCCAGAACGTTGTGTAGCTTTAAAAATAGGTTGGATAAATACATGAGTAGATGTGGGTGGGTGTGAGTTGGACCTGATAGCTTGTGCTAACAGGTCGGTTGCCGTGTTCCTCCCTTAAGTCAATGTGACCTGACCTGACTAGGTTGGGTGCATTGGCTTAAGCCGGTAGGGACTTGGACCTGCCTCGCATGGGCCAGTAGGCCTTCTGCAGTGTTCCTTCGTTCTTATGTTCTTATG